GAGCCTGGGCCTTCAGAGGCAGGACTTGCAATTGGGACACACCAACCCAGTCCTTCCTGAGAAACTGGTTCAACTGTAGCTGAAAGGTCCATGAGCACTTGTCCACCTACTACTTCATCTGCACAGTAAAATCACCTGCTCCCAGTCTTTCCTCCCTCGGACTGTGAGAAAAAACACTTAAAAATCTCCAAAGTATTTTGAGAAAGAAGAAAAAAGAAATGTCGCAATTCTTGGTATTCCACATTCAAAATGAGGGCGATGCCTCGAGTTCCCAACATTTGTGACAATCGGTAAAAATATTGAATTTCATCCAAGCAGTTCTTCATGACAGCAGGAAAATCAGTCCAGGCAGAATCTGCTTGGAGAACTAAAAGGGTTTTAAACTCTGTGTTTTATTAGATTGACTAACTAGAACCCAGCGTGCCTCTTGTTAAAGCAACCAGGCATGTGAACACAATAACAGTTACTATGACGGGATACCATTCAGTCAATCAGGCTCATTTTTTCATCTTTAGCTTCAAAACGGTCAAAGAGTAGTCTCGCTTTAACTTGCAAAACAATGACCGTTTCTCTAACCTGCTGTGCCCAAAGGCCAAACTATGTGAAAAACATAAAGTTTGAAAAGGCTACTGGAGCCCCCCTTCACTTGCCTGCCCTCTAACAAGTGTGGAAGAGAAGAGTCGCATTCTGCTCACGGGAGGAAGAGACCTCTACAAAAAGGGGAGATTAGAGAGTTTATCCTGGGCCTGTTCTTTAATCTGGAGAAGTCAAGATTGGCTTTTGGAAGATTGTTGCAACTCTAGCCAGGCTCCTTCAGGGCCTGCACTCGCTGGGTGGCCCAGACAGGGAAACTCGGGAAGGAAGAAATAAAAGACGAGATAAAGTTTCAGCTTTAAAGAATTTATCAGCAAACTATTCCGGCTTCAAACACGGTTCAGGACAACCTTCCCTCCCCACCCCCCCCTTACTTTGAAAATTCCAAAAGCATGAGCAAGGACCCCGCAGCCCTTCGGCCAGCTCCACAGAGACCCCTCGTCCGGGAGGAGATGGAAAGCACCGCGGATGGCTGGCAAGAGAGGAGGGCGGCCGAGTCGGATTCTGGAGCAGGACCTCCTACCCCACCCTTCCCAAACAAAATTCCACACGCCAAAAAAAAAAAAAAGCACATCGTGGAGCCTCAGTGTCCAGACTGCAGCTCTTACCTAGACCTAACGGCATGTTTGTTGTAGTTGAAAAAATCTGAGCTCATAGTTCTTCCTGTGCTGGCTGGCGGCCGGCCGCCCAGCTCTCTCCCTGCGTGGAGAAGCCCTGCTGCACAGCGCTGGCCGTGTTGAGAGCTGGGAATCTGTCACGGCCACAATGGCTGGTTACAGTCAGCCTACCGACCCCCTACAAATCGCAGCCCTCAATTAGCATTCCTCGCGTCCCCCCGCAGAATCTCACCCCGCAATGTAGAGGGCAGCAGAGCTGTGGTTACTGCGCCCCCAGACTGTAATAGCGCATCACCGCTTTTGATAAACGGCCCCAAATTATAGAGGGGCTAGCCAAGAGCATGCGAACGAGGGAAACAGGAATGCACTAATTGGCTGTTGTCTGTCGTGATGGAGAGCAGCTGTTTTAGTAGTATAATTCTTATCTTTTTTTCCCCCAACTTTCTTCCAAAAGCGGTCCAAGCTGGGAGGAGACCCAGCGCTATTTGGCACCTTCTCGTTTTTTCACAGAAAATGAATCAATGGCCAACTCAAAGGCTGGAGTCTAACGCCTCTCAGCTCTGGCCTGACATTTCAAAAAACATGGAAAAGGAAAGTAAGATATGATCGTTCATTGTTAATTTAGTGTTTGGAATGACAAGAAGAGTTGAAAAATCCCCCGCGGCTTTGCTACATTTCTGCCGAGAGCGACGCTCTCCAGGATTTTCCAGTGCTGGTCCTGGTGCAGGGTTTTGTTTGGAGTCGTTTTCCCGGATCTCCCTAAAGCAGCAAAGCTGGGACAAGTAGTTCAAGCAGGGAGCTGTGTCAGCATGTGTAGGCTGCAAAGGAGCAGGTGAAGGTTTATTCCGTGCTTAAAAGAGAAGAATGGAAACACAATGTTTCAGCTGTGGAGCCTTCTTCAGGTGTGTAGGAGAAGGCCCCACAACTGAAACACAGTGTTTCCTTTCTTCTCTTTTCAGCACGGAATAAACCTTGTTCTTTTGCAGCCTACGCATGCTGACACAGCTCTCTACTTGAACTAATACTAGACTAGACTTTTCCTGCAATAGCAATGAAACAGACAAACAATACAACAAAGTAAAATAAAATACTACAAAGATTTGAAATTCAGGAGTATCATTGAAGCACTATAGGGCGTAGGTCATTTGCTTACAACGGGTGTTCTTTGTGTTTTGCATGCTTTATATATAGTATATTTACGACATGATCTAAAGATATGATAAAAAACACAGGAATAATTTTAATTAACTGTGCCAATTGCAATGGTGTCACACCCGAAGAAGGCTCCACAGCCAAAACGTTGTGTTTCTTTTCTTCTCTTTACCTGACTTGTTCCAGAGCTGGGAGAGGTCATTCAAAGGCCCGGTGAAGACGATAACCAGAACTGAGGATACCTGCTCTAGACTGAGACAAACCCGCACAGCACGAGCTGTGGAAGCTCATGTTGTACTCGAGAACCTTGAGGTGACATCAAGTCCAGGATCTGTGCAGAAATGGCACTGCTGCCCCCAACAGGAAAAAAAGACAAGAGTGAGAGGAAGAAAGTGGCACTGAGCTCGGGACCTCTGGCACTGATGTCAGCCAGGCCACTCCAGAGGAACACGTCCAAAAAGCTGTGCCAAGAGCTTCACTATTGGGTGGGAGGAGTTCCCTCGTGCCTAGACTACACCTCTGAGGGCTTTTCTGCAAAACTATAGTGCAAATAAGAGCCACTTTCAGGAAGTGGGCATAAAATGAAATTTACCAGCCGTTTTACAAACTGATTCCCTCTAAACCTGTCCTGTTCCACGTTACGAGTGCTGCAAATCTTGCCTCCTGGAGTTTGAGAACCTTTGTCAATAGTGAAAACAGCCACACAACCAGCACCATAAAAATAGTGTTAGAATGCTTTTAACGTTGAAACAAGAATGACTAGATTATGTAATCCCTAAATCAAACCATGGAGCACAGTCTCTGTATTGGATTCCGAGAGAGTGCACTTCACTAAGCCTTTCATTCCAAAACAAGGATGCCAACCCCCCCTCTTCAGATGAAAACCTGCCAACAGTCTGTATGGCGTTACTCTGCAAGACAAAACCGCAGAGGCGGCCTGCTTCTTACACTAAACCTTCGAAAGGACTGAGCTGGGCAGGCCTGCCCTTAGCTACGACCACCACAGAGCTGATGCTCCAGTGCAGGGTTTTGTTTCACAGCTACAAATGTACTTAACAGCGGCCATCTCCAACACTGGGAAATGCAGGGTGAAGCAATTTACAGTAGGCAGAATAGATCTAAATGGAAACACGGGTGAAGAGCATTTAATAATACTGAACTAGTCTCCTCAGTAGTTGGGGGAAAAAACAAATTGACAAACCCCTCGCATTTGAGGTAGAAAAACCTTCCAAGGCTCAAGAAGCAGAGTTACCCCACGTGCAGAACGAGGATCAGGGCAAATGACAAGTCCTGCCTAAGTGTCTAGTTTTAATTGCATTACGAGTTAAACCTGGGTGCAACTGATTGACAGAAGAA